GGGAAAGATCAAAGTTCACAAGTCACAGAATAAAAGATTCAATTGCATATTCCAGATTCAAAAGTCCACTCCATACACCAGTGGTACTTCGGGAGAGTAGAGTCCTCCGTACCTGAAGACTTAAAGTTCTGTTCATATAGCAGCTCAACTATATTTAGTGCTTTGAGTACTTTTGGAGGTGTATTTATCCGGAGGATTTTTTCCCCTTTCTTTTTGCATTCACTTCACCCGTGTATCTCACTTTTGTTGCCAATCTCCAGGTGGTGGAAGTCCAAACAAAACACCCGTGACAAAATAACGAAGAGTCAATACAGATATATACGCAAAATTGTTTACTATAATAACTATAATTCTGTGGAAATTGCTCACACGCAACAAATTTTGCACAATAAAAATATCCGCCATTGCGCAAAATTTGTTGCGTGTGAGTGATAAAAGAAGAGAGTTTCCCACAGAATTATCATTATTAGAGTAACAGTTTCGCATACATATCTTTACTGACTTTTCGTTATTCTGTCACGGATGTTTCGTTTGGACTTCCGTCTCCTCCCGCGATCTCTCACTTTTGGCTTCGAATCCTCCAGGTGGCGGCTGGTGATCTCACGGGACTACACACGATCTCCAGGCGGCAGAGATCATTTCCCCTGGAGGAAATGGCCGCTTTGGAAGGTGGACCGTATGGCACTGTGCCCCTCTTTGAAATCCCCACCTTTCCCCAAACCCCGCCCTCCTCAGGCCCCACCCCCCAAATCTCCAGGTGTTTCCCACCCTTGGGCTGGGAACTCTACCCCTGTTGTAGGATCTTTTGTCGCCGAAAACATTCCCTCCTGTTAGGCAACCCAGTGAGGATCAGTGGGCCTCGGCGCACACCCTTTCCGCTTTGCATAATTGCAGAGGGTTTTCGGTTGGCGATCCCTGCTGCAGATTAGAATTCCCACTCCACCCATATCGCACGCGAACGTTTTGCTGAGCCTCACAGTAAGGCTGTTTTAGTTCCTGGTGCCAATTTTATTCATTTATTGACACACTCCTACCCCAACTTTCCTGAAGCGAGGAGTGACTCCCTGAAGAAGTGAGCAGTGACTCGCGAGAGCTCCTCCCCTGCCACCAATTTTGTTAGTCTTGACCGTGCCACTGGACTCTTTGCTCTTTTCCGCTGCTACCAACAAACACGGGTACTCATCTTGACACAACCTTTCTTGGTGGTTCGAGAAGGCTAACGATAATAGTTGTTTTTTTAAAAAATTCACTTTGTTGGTGCTCTTGTGGTGAACAAGGTACATTTTATCATTGTTGGTGGTCATGCATATATGTTCAACGGTTTTGGTCCAAGGTAATTTTGTCTATTCCTGCCAACCTAGCAGTTCGAAAGCAAGAAATTACAAAATAAAAAAATGTTATTTAAAAAAAAAAAGTAAAATAACCAGTTTGGTGGAGTGGATAGAGCCAGTTTGGTGTAGTGGTTAGGAGCGCGGACTCTAATCTGGGAGAACTGGGTTTGATTCCCCACTCCTCCACTCCCAGCTGCTGGATGACCTTGGGCAAGCCATAGTTCTGTCAGAGCCGTCCTTGAAAAAGAGCAGTTTCTGTTAAGAGCTCTCTCAGCCCCACCTCCCTCCCAGGGTGTCTGTTGTGGGGAGGGGAAGGGAAAGGAGATTGTAAGCCGCTCTCAGACTCCCGAGTGAAGGGCGGGGTATAAATCCAGCCTCTTATCTTCTTCTACAGTGGGAGAACTGAGTTTCATTCCCCACTCTTCCACATGCAACTGCTGGTGTGACCTTAGGTCAGTCATAAGTTTTTTCAGAGCTGTTCTCTCAAGGGCAGTCCTCGAAAGAGCTCTCTCAACTCCACCTACCTCACAGACCGCGTTCCCTCTAAGCTGAGTCAGTGTGAAGAACTAGCTCACAGTTTTTTAGCCTCCGGCTCACACATTTTTATCTCCGCTCAGGAAGGAGGGCTCCAGAGCACACTAATTTATGCAGTAGCCAAATTGCTCACTCACAATTTTAATGCCAGTAGCCCACCAAGTAGAATTTTTGCTCCCAAGACTCCACAGCTTAGAGGGGGCACTGCTCACAGAGTGCCTGTTGTGGGGAGGGGGAGGGAAAGGAGTTTGTAAGCTGATCTGAGACTCCTTCGGGTAATGAAGGGCAGGATATAAATCCCATCTTCTCCTCCTCCTCCTCCTCCTCCTCCTCCTCTTCGTCGTCTTCTTCTTCTCTGCAGATCTTTCCCTCCCTCCCTTTTAAAAGATGCCTGTTAATTCAAAGCCCCTGGAATGCTCTGGCAAACAGGCAGGCCTTGCAGTGCCCCTGAAGATCACCAGGGGGGGCACCTCTTCAGGTAGCCCCTTCCACAGAGCTGGAGCCACGATGGGAGAGGCCCAGGCTCTGGTCAGTGCCGGAAGGTCCACCCTAAGTGAGGGGATAGTCAACAGATGGCTCCCTGACAATCGCAGTTGGTGCACAGGGATATGTGGAAGGAGATGCTCTTTGAAATCAATTTCGCCGTTTACGCCCGTCCTCTGCGAAATCCTAGGAATTTCAGTCTGGTGGAGATGCCGGGAACGTCCCTGTAAAGATCTCTCCGTTCCCACGCCGAAGGACACAACCCAGCCAGGAGTGAATATATCACTAGACCAGTTTGACTCTGTAGTGCAGATTTACCTTTTGCAACTTTTGCTCCTTTTGCAACTCTTTCAAGTCCTCGTATTGGGAATACAAAGCCATAGTTAATCATCTCGAGGGGTCCCAAATATGCATTCCCCCCCCCCTTCTCCAAGTTCTCTGGACTGGGGATTGAACCCTGATTTGGAGGTGGAGGTATTTTTATCTTCCTCCACAAGAACAAGAATGAGGTGCGGTGCCCTGTAATCAGGGGTCATTTCGTAGAAAAAGAGCTAGGGGAACTCATTAGCATAACTCATTAGCATATGCCACACCCCCTGACATCAGGGGCCCGGCGGTGGACCTGCAAGGCCAGCGGGAGTGCGAGGAAGCCCCACCAAGGCCCTCCCTGTCCCCAGGCAGGCAGGGGTGGGGAGAGGCGGGGAGGAAGCAACTTACCCTCCCTCTTCTGCTGCCTCCTCCTGGCTGAATGAGGGCTGGAAGCGGGGTGGCCGGAAGCAGAGGGCGGGGCTTCGTCATGTGCCCCGCCCCCCTGCACCTCACCCGGGGGAACTGTGTTCCCCCGCGATCCCCCCCAAAATGACCTCTGCCTGTAATCATAATAAATTGTAGACGGCACCCGGTTTTCTCAAAACAGTCCCAAAACGCAATGGCACAGCATGTAAAAGGGGAGGTGCTCTACGTGCTGTTCTCTGAAACGGACTGAATCAATTATCGCACTTCCGTTGAGTTAAAAAAAACCCAGTGATTTACTTATCACTTTATTGTGCCTCCTTTGGAGTGTTTATGGACATTTAATAAGCATCTTATGTTTGCTAAGACTTTATGTCGGCTCAATATTTAATTGTGACTGGGACTGCTTTACGCTTGACGTTGTTTTCTAATGCCGATTTTGTAGTATTGTGCATATTTACATGTTGTGATTTATGATATATTGCTTTTCAATTATATTGAAATGCTCTTATATTGCTTGACTTGGTTTTTTTTTTGTCAATCAGTCAGTCAAATACCTTTTTTATGGCATAGCCATATAAGTAACGACATCAAAAGTAAATAGCAATAGCTAACAGGACACACTCCCCCGAGACAAAAAAAATCAACCTAACCTAACTGCTTATTATTCCTTTATTCCCTCCTTGTTATTTCCTTTTTTCTATTAATCCATTAATTATAATATTTTATTCTTGCAGCAGGATACTTGATTCATTCCGGTAGTCAATGTGTGATCGACTTCTAAATTTCTAACTGTTTTATCTTATCGATATTTTACTGTTTTCTACGTTATCCTCACTGTTTTCTACATTATCTTCACAGGTGCAGATGGGAAACTTGCGTCTAGACCTTGGCCGGGTACACTACGACACGGAGCCCCCTTCCCACTTCCCCCCCGAAGCCCAGATTGGGTTGGGGGTAGGTGCGGCAGTGCTGGCTTTCGTGGTGTTGCTACTCATCCTAATGTACAGGTAAACACGGAGATACTTTTGCGAGGATGGGTGGGCATTGGAGGCCCCTTCGTCCTGTCTTTGCCTCTGACGCTGGTTGTCCGTGTCCCACTCCGGCAGACGGAAGAGCAAACAGGCCGTGCGGGATTACAAGAAGGTCCTGGTGCAGCTGGAAAACCTGGAGATCAGCGTGGGAGACCAGTGCCGCAAGGAATTCACAGGTACGGAATCGAGTGATTTCATTCATTTCTTTACCTTATTGATTGTTTGCCTTTCTCATTTGGTCTCAAGGCGAATTGTGAGTCAATACAATCAGTCAGAGGAAGATAAGAATATAAGAAAAGCCCTGCTGGATCAGACCAGCGGTCCATCTAGCCTCTGAATGTGGAGGTTCCCCTCAGCCACCATATCTAGTAGCCATTGATAGTTTGATCCTCCATGAATCTTATCTAATCCCCTTTTCATAGTTTGATCCTCCATGAATCTTATCTAATCCCCTTTTCAAGCTGTTATTCCAGGGCCATCACTATGTCCTCTGGCAGCGAATCCCACATTTTCATCACTCTCTGTGTAAAGCAGTATTTCCTTTCCTCCATACTAAGCCTACTGCCCATCAGCTTCATTGGATGCCTTTGAGTTCTAGTATTTGGGGGGAGGAAGAAAAAGGACTCTCTGTCAACTCTGTCCACCCTGTGCATAATTTTATAAACCTCTATCCTGTCCCTCCTTAGTTGTCTCTTTTCTGAGTCCCGGATGAGACATTCAGTAAGCAATGCAATAGGATTAAGATTGCAGAAACTACCAGAAATCTAAAAACGATGGGAGTGAAGCCGAAGCATTAACAGGACACATTAAATGATGCAAAATGACATAGTAGGGTCCTATTCATAGCAGGCAATACAGAGTAATGTGGACCCTAAAGGTCAAGGTTTCCCTTGCTCGAAAGCCAGTCGAATCCGACTCTAGGGGGCAGTGCTCATCTCCGTTTCCAAGCCGAAGAGCCAGCGCTGTCCGAAGACGTTTCCGTGGTCATGTGGCTGGCATGACTACACGCCGAGGCGCATGGAACGCTGTTCCCTTCCCACCGCAGCAGTACCGATTTATCTCCTTGCAATTTTTTTGCTTTTGAACTGCTAGGTTGGCAGGAGCCGGGGCCAGAGACGGAAGCTCACTCCGTCACGCGTCACTCGCATCTCAAACCGCCAAACTACCGACCTTGCGGTCTGCAGCTTCAGCGTCTTAACCACTGAGCCACCGCGGCCCCTAATACGGACCACAGTCCCTATTAATTTATGCCAAGTGATTTTGTGTGACACCTTTTGTACAGTGACACCCTGTTGCCCGCACAGAAAAGCCCTCTTGAATAGTTCAGTTTTGCATAGATGGTGGAAAGCCGGGGGCGGGGGGGGGAGCCCTTGTGACTTCCTCAGGCAGGCCATTAAGAACATAAGAGACGCCATTGTTGGATCAGGCCAAAGGCCCATCCAGTCCAACACTCTGTGTCACACAGCGGCCAGAAATACCAGGTCCCATCAGGAGGTCCACCAGTGGGGCCAGGACACCAGAAGCTCCTCCCACTGTTGACCCCCCTCCAAGCACCAAGAAGACAGAGCATCACTTGCCCCAGAGCCCCTATCTATACCTTGTGGCTAATAGCACTGATGGACCTCTGCTCCATATGCCTATCTAATTCCCGTTTGAAGCCGTCCATGCTTGTAGCCGCCACCACTTCCTGTGGCAGTGAATTCCAAGTGTGAATCACTCTTTGGGTGAAGAAGGACTTCCTTTTATCCGTTCTAACCCGACCTCTCAGCAATTTCATGGAGTGCCCACAAGGAGTTCTTGTATTGTGAGAAAGGGAGAAAAGCACCTCTCTCTACCTGCTCTTTCCCACGCATAATCTTATAAACCTCGATCATGTCACCCCTCAGTCGTCGCCTCTCCAAGCTAAAGAGCCCCATTCCTTAAGGTGGGGGCCCCCGTGGTTCGCCATAGATGGAGGAGGAAGATTCTGGACAGGGGGAGACGGAGGCACAGGTATGCTGTGGGGCGAAGGGAGAGGAGTCAGCTGTCCCTGAATGCAGGAAGTTATTGCCCGTTATCGAGGCTCCCTCGTGGACCAGGCCAGAACGCGCATCTGGCTTCGGAGGCGCTCCAGCCCTCCACAGGCTCTCCCTCCGAAGTCTCCGCTACTCGTTACAACTTCTTCTTTCTCTTTAAAAATAACTTGCCTTTTGCAGAAGGAGCCTCCGGGTTTGCTTTGTCACGGTGGGGGTGGAAAGTACCAAGAAGTCACAGTGGGCTTAGGGCCACCCTGTCAGGTTTCCAAGGCCAGAGACGTTCAGAGGTGGCTTGCCATTCCCCGCTTCGGTGTAGCGACCCTCAGGGCTCTTTTTGTAGAAAAAGCCCAGCAGGAACTCATTAGCATAATAGGCCACACCCAACCACAGAAATGCATTAGCATATTAAGCCACACCCCGGACAGCACAGCTCATTAGCATATTAGGCCCCAACCCCATGTTACCAGAAGTGTGGCCATCTAGCCACACCCACCTTTCCCTTCTTATTCTGTTTACCTTGTTTGTGGTCAAAACCCAGGGCCTTTTTTTGGAGCAGGAACTCCTTTGCATGTTAGGCCACACACCCCTAATGTAGCCAATCCTAATGAGTTCCTGCTGTTGGGTGTGGCCTATTATGCTAATGAGTTCCTGCTGGGCGTGGCCAACTCAGGAGACAGGCGGAACTCCGTTCCTGTGCGTTCCTGCCCAAAAATAGCCCTTGTGACCCTGGTATTTCTCGGAGGTCTCCTGTTCAAATACTCACCAGGGAGGACCCTGCTTGGTTTCAGGATCTGGTGAGATCGGGCTAGCCTGGGCTTTAGCTATCCAGGAGAAGAATGGAAAGATGGGGGAAGGTTAAACCTTTCCTTCCTTGCCGTTGTCTTCCTGGAAGAAGCCACCAAGGAGCCATGTTTACGCTGGGGCAGGGAGAGGGTATGGGTAAATGTAAGCCAAGGCCTTCTCAGTAGCGGCTCCGCACTGGTGGAACGAGCTCCCGGAAGAGACCAGGGCCCTGCAGGACCTTCTACAGCTCCGCAGAGCCTGCGAGACGGAGCTCTTCCGCCAGGCCTTCGATTAGGAGCCGCGTGTGACATCCGAGAAGAGACCCTGTGCCCTGGCTTGACCATGTCTAGCCCGCCTCGCTAGGTAGAAGAAGAAGAAGAGATTGGATTTATACCCTGCGAGGGAGGCGGGGCTGAGAGAGACCTCTTTCGAGGACTGCCTTTGAGAGAACAGCTCTGAGAGAACTTGTGACTGACCCAAGGTCACATCAGCAGCTGCAAATGGAGGAGTGGGGGAATCAAACCCGGTTCTCCCAGATTAGAGCCCGCGCACTTAACCACGACACCAAACTGGTGTAGCTCAACGGAGCGTGTGGGAACATGATTATGATGACCGTCCCCCGTGGAGTATGGTTCTTTCTGGCATTTCTGCTCGCACGCTTTATTTGAAAGCTGTCCCAGCACTTTAGGATAGCGGATTTATGGATCTTAGGATAACCGGCCTGTTTTTCGGTATGATGAACGTTCTGCTGGATTTTAGTCTCTAGCCCGCCTCACTAGGTAAAGAAGTAGCTCAACGGAGCGTGTAGGAACATGATTATGACCGTCCCCCGTGGAGTATGGTTCTTTCAGGCATTTCTGCTCGTACACTTCATTTGAAAGCTGTCCCAGCACTTTAGGATAGTGGATTTATGGATCTTAGGATAACCGACCTGTTTTTCGGTATGATGAACGTTATGACGGATTTTAATTGTATTTTTATGCATTTGCGTAAGCCGCCCTGAGCCTGCCTTGGTAGGGAGGGCGGGGTATATATCAAATAAAATAAATAAGTTTCTGCAGCGAGGGTAAAGGAGAGGGGCCTTTTTTCTTGCCTCTGTGGCAGAGATGGAGATGGCTGGATTTTTATCCCCCCCCCACCCC